AAAAAAAAATGGTTGCAACACAAGATTCTCTCTCCAAATTAAAAATTATCAAAGTTGTGTTGTAGAAAGAAATATTACCTGTCACCAAAAAACCTCTGTACAGTGCCTGGTCATCACAACAGCCTCAGAAACTTCTACCTCAGAAACGTCTATATACACATCTCAAACACGCTGTACAGGAAAATAAGCTTTTAAGAGCTCTTTTGACACATCTCTCCACTATTTCGCCAATCCAAACACTTAAAGGTCAAAAAGTTGGTATTTCCTCACTATCCCGTCTCTGCAGCATGTGTAAATTTGCTTCTCCCAAGAAGCTACCTGAAAAAGAAAGAGGGGGGAAAAAAAGAGAAGTATTTAAGCACAGTATTCCTTAAGTGACAGTTAAAATTCTCAGAGATCAGCTTTCCTTTTGGACTTTTACAGAGGGAAGGGGAGGTGAGTGTCCCCTAAAACAGGATTAGCAGGTTTTAAAGAACAGGTTCAAGGTTTTGCCAGGAGCTTAGGGAGTAGCTAAGTGCTCACACAAGGGTTGTTCCGTTAGATCCGAAAGGGAAAAAAAGCCTTTTTTCACACTTTTCTCATGTTTTGCTCGTGCTGATGAGTCGTGCAGGTAAAATCTCAGCCTCCTGTGCAAGGCTGGGTGTTACCCTTAAGGGTGCATGTTGGCTAGGACAGGAAGAACAGCACCACGGAGCTGGAATGGGTTAAAAACAAGAGCTATTTTCCATCAGCACTACCAGGTTGAGAGCCCAGGGAAACCAGGTCAATCTCCCTAGTCTGTGCAAGCACAGCGGGGTGTGTGGAAATACAACAGCAAGACCTACTTTCTGGTCTCGTGTCACCAGGGGACAAGGGAAGACAGGCAGCTGCTGCTTTTACCCTCACGATTCTCTGAGCACAATTAATTCACAAATTCTTTACAAAACACAGCTCTGCCACAGCTACTCCAACAACCAAGCTACTCCAGTGCTTCAGTTTTGCTCCTGCATGATGGAGATAACGCCAGCGTGTACCACAGAGGATCTGTTTATGCAAAATATTAAGATTATTCAGCTAGGAAAAATAAAAATTAAAAAAAAAAAAAAAAGAAGAGTCAAATGCATGAAGGATCCCGTTGTGAAGGCTGAAAATCTAGAGATAAAGGCAGGTGCCTGCTACCTGACGTCACCTTTCCCTACACCCTTCATCTCGGGTGATACAGCACATTCCTTACCTTGTACACAGGGTCACAGTCTGCTTCTGTGAGATCCAGGACATAATCAAGGTCTTGCTGAACGACAAAACAGGTCCCATCACCTGCACGAGGAGAAGAGATACCAAGCAAGGAACATCAGCCAATTAGTAAAATAAGCCGTGCTCTTAATTACAAACAACACTAACAGGACCATCAGAAATTCCTTATCACAGGGTATGGAGTTCCCAGGAAGAGGGAAAAGGGCTGTGAGGATGGCAGAGAGATGGGAGAAGGCTCTAAACACTGAGAGGGGACTTTGAGGCCCTATTTTGGAGGAACACAGGAAAAAAAAAAATTAAAAAAAAAAAAATAAATCACAAGGCAAAAAGTAACCATGTAATATTACAGAACGGTTTGAGTTGGAAGGGACCTTAAAGATCATCCAGTGCCACCTCCCTGCTCTGGGCAGGGCCACCTTCCACCAGCCCAGGTTGCCCAAAGCCCCGTCCAACCTGGCCTTGAACCCTTCCAGGGAGGGGGCAGCCACAGCTTCTCTGGGCAGCCTGTGCCAGGGCCTCACCCCCCTCACAGGGAACAATTTCTGCCTCAGATCTCATCTAAATCTCCCTCCATCAGTTTAAATAGAGCTCCTACTACCTCACCTTTTTGCCACAGACACTCTGCCAAGCCTGGCAGCGCTTAGATTTAAGAGAGCAATACCCACAAAACTCCAATTTAATTATATAATTTCTACTGTAATAACACAGCACTCGAGTTACCTTGGCTGGCAATAAATCCATCTCGGTACGGGAGCAGTGAAAGCACTGGTGCTCCTGATCTATGGATGACCTGGATTGGAGCACTACAAAAGAGAGAGGAAACAAAGAATGAGTATTGTGGTCTATAGTCAAAAGCCCATTCTAATGTGCCAACACTGAAAGAAAAACACGAGTTAAAAGATACATGAGGAGAACATACAGGACGTGGGAACTGATCGATGGTTTGCAAAGCCTCCGTCCTCTAGAGGCAGATGGAAATCAGCATTGGTTTTCCCACAGACGTTGCCCAAGGATCAAAGGGGGAAGAAAAATTTAGCTAGCAGGTGAACACCAGCACGCCTCCAGGGTGGGTTACAGACAGGGATTATCCTTACCAAGACACAGACAAAAGCTTGGAGCTCATCCAGCATCGAAGACTCCCCAGCCACCACCCAAAAGCACCATCTGGACGCCTCCCTGCTCAGAGCTTGCCTTTGACACTAACAGAATCCAGCTTAGTGCTGGACCCAGGGCATGGCTGAATGGTAACACCATACACAGATAGCTGAGTCTCCTCAGTGAAGGAGAGGGAGGGATGGTGCTTTTGGGGGGAGGAACACACCCGTTAAGAAGTTTTCTGCTGAATCTCTCTACATACACATCCACAGATTACATCTAATCACACAGATATTCATATGTAATATAATACGCACAGTACATGAACATAACTTTATATATAAAATAAACTTTCATGTATAATATGTCTCACATATATCTTTATCTAATTTTAAATATATAAATCTATCTATAAAGCAATTATTTGAGAGGTAAGGCTATGCCAAGAGCACCCCTGGTCACAAATCAAGACTGAAAATCCTTTCAGTAACTAAGGAACCTGCACAGAGCCTGTAGTCTTTTAGGAGGTACTTTCCAGAGAACATCCCATTAAATCACCAACACAAGGAGGAGTGTCCTCCTCAGTGCCCCCCAGGAAAAAGAAACATCCACAGGAGGCTGAGCAGCTCACAGTGCCACAGCTTAGGCTGTATCCACCCTTCAGAAGGGGCACTGTCTGCCAGTACCCTCAACTTGTCTCTCTTTCCCAGTCAAAAAAATGGCTGTGGCTGAAATACGTGCAGTCCCAGGCACTCACTCACTTTGTGTTTCTCACATCCAGCTGATAGATGTTCCCATCCTGAGTTCCTGCTAGGATATAGGCACTCGAGAGGAATGTGCAGCAGTTGAATGCGTCAGAGCCAGCGAAGAGGAATACCTGAGAATAGGGGAGCAAAAGCAAGTGTCAGACAGTCACAGGTGAGGACAGGGGACACCCAGAAGATGGAAGCAATCACTTATTTCACAGTCAGTACAGTGGCTTTCATGAGTCATGGCACAAGCTGACAAAGCCAGACCAGATCTGCAAAGACCATTCCTTCCTTCCAGAGCTGCAGTCATCTTACAGAGGCTGTGAGCTCCTTCCAGGTGAGCCCTTGACATCTCACTGATCAGCCTTGGTTCCGCCATATCTGTTCTACCTAAAATTTAGTCACCACAAACACCTTCTCAAATCACAGACTGGTTTGGGTTGGAAAGTACCTTAAAAAAGGCCATCCAGTCCCACCCCCCCCGCCCCAGGCAGGGCCACCTCCCACCAGCCCAGGTTGCCCAAAGCCCCGTCCAACCTGGCCTTGAACCCTTCCAGGGAGGGGGCAGCCACAGCTTCTCTGGGCAGCCTGTGCCAGGGCCTCATCCCCCTCACAGGGAACAATTTCTACCTCAGATCTCATCTAAATCTCCCCTCTGTCAGTTTAAAACTTTTACCACTCATCCTATCCCTACACCCCCTGATGACGAGTCCCTCCCCCTGTTCCTGCAGCCCCTTCCAGCCCTGGGGGGCCGCTCTAAGGTCTCCCCGGAGCCTTCTCTTCTCCAGCTGAACCCCCCAACTCTCTCAGCCTGTCCTCACAGGGGGG